GGTGGGCGCGTGGAACCCACTTTTCCCTCCCGCCGCTCTCACCCCGAGGAGGCGCCCCGGCCCACCCTTTGTCTGGCCGAAAGGTGAAGGAGAAAACTGCAGAAATCTCTCGCTCGCCACGCAGCGCTCCCGACCCAAAGCGTCTCGCGGGCTCTCGGCGAGGGAACCTTGGGTGGACACTTGGAGCGGGCCATTTCACCCGAGGGGAGCGTGGGGAGCCGGGCGTACCCCTGCGCCCAGAACCACGTTGGTCCAGAAGGGCGTCGGAGAAATTTCTGACGGAAGGGAGTGGGGTCGGAGGCTTCTTGCCCTGACCTCGGGCAAATCACGCTGACCTTCGGCGGACGTTTATTTACTAGGCGTCTTCGCTGGGCCCTTCAACATGTTTATTGACTTGCTTTGGGGGGCGGGGGGCTGGTGCAGGAAGGGGAGGGCACGAACCAGCCTGGATTCCAGGCTGTGGACCAAGCTGCCTTGCAAAGCCCCCTTGGCGTCCCTGAGGGATGCCTGCCTCGGCCGGCCCTCCCCGCTCCCCACTGCCTTGCCAAAGCCTAGAAGACTTGGCAAGGAGTCGTGCCCAGTAAATATTCGGTCGCTCCTTTACTAGGAAAGCGGGGAGAATCCTCAGATGTTCCCAGCCCGATCAGTTTCCCAGGTGTGTATGTTGTATTTCCTGCAATCACTTCGGACCCCCTACCCACCTGCGGGCCAGCACGCCCCGTTCTGTGCTTTGGCGGTAAATGCGGTGAACAAAACCCCTTCTGAAGTTTACAGTCGGTTGAAGTTTGATGTGTAAGGTAAGGGAATTTGTGGGGCGCCAAGTTTTGAGGGGACCGCGTGCCCTTTAACCGAGGGCTTTAGATTTGCAAAGCGCCTTCGCACACCTTCTTCCGGCAGCGCCGGCCGTTTGGTTCTGGGGGCACCAGAGCATCTTCCGTGGCACAGGGCAGTAGCCTGGCAAATTTTGGCAAACTTCCGCGGCCAGGAGTTGCAGCTCCAGGCTCCCAGCAGGGGAGCCCGCTCGGAAGAACTAGAGCGGACTTCAGGGAAGACCTGGAGAAACTCCGCCCGAAGCGCGGCGTCCACTGAGCATCTGGCACTGGATGGCTGATGCTGAGTGAAGGCCTCGGGTGGCGATGCCAAAGGCGCGGCCTCAAGCTCCAAGCCACCTGGCCGACCCGGCACCCAGGAACGCGCTCCGCTGGGCCGACTCCTCCGGGGTTGGGGGGTTGCGCTTGGGGTGGAGAAAGTTCCCGGGACTCCCTCGGCCAGCCGGGCCGGCCAGCCCAGGTCTCCTCCCCGCGGGGCTCCTCGGCGGGGTGCTGGTGACCGCGGAAACCCGGAACGCGGAGCGAGCGGAGCAGGGCGCGCTGCGGCAGCCGAGCACGTTCCGAGGCTGGCGGGACCGGCCCTGCGCTCCCCCGGCCGCTGTGAGCACTGCGCAGCCGGGCTCGGTCGGCCCATTTGCTTCTCCGGATGGAGTCGGGGGCAGGATTAAGTTGCAGATAAGCGGCTTTGGCTGGTGGAGACAATCTGCAAAGCTTCCGAAGTAACTGCCCATTTTAATCTTGATTTTTCCCTTCTAAGCCTTTTTTTTTTTTTTTCCTGGACTCTCCGGTTTCTCCCCCAGAACAGTCCACACTGCAATCTGCTTCAGACCTACGGGTCAAGATGCCATTTCTTCTCTTCCAAGAGGCATATCTGGGTATTACGCCCTGGAGGTTTCTTTTGTGGCAATATTGAGCTCTAGATAACTTACTTGCAACTCGCTTTTGGGAAAAGCACTGGTAGTTAAACACTGATAGTTTAAACCAGGTCCTGTAGACTGGCTTGAGATGTATGCGCTTTTGCCCGGCGGTTTGTCTAATTGGACAGGCAGGTTGTTGTTGTCCTTTAAGTTCTATTTGTATTGAAACGTTGTTTGGCGTCCTGACGGCGACGTTATGGTTTTTAATCTCCAGCTCTTATGCAACTTTTTCATTCCTAACTAATCTGTTGTTAATTTTTTTTTTTTTGAGATGTCTTTTAGCCGAGGTTTATAAGCTACACCTAGTCACAGCAGGGAAACCGATTCTCAAAGACGCCCAAGGATTGTTACCCTTTAAGTTACAGAAAGCGTTCCCAGTTTAGGATGGTGGAATGAATTTTGAAAGAGGAACGCGCTAAGGGCGCTAACCAAAATGAGGACCCCTCTGTCTTTTTCCTACAGTCATTTGCAGAAGTCACTGGTGATGGAAGACCAGACATGAGCTTCCCTCCTCTAGCAAGCACTTGGGGTGAAGGGACTGGAATGTTGCACCCTGTTGAGCTAGGAGCCCCGGTGCGGCGCTCCATTGTTTAAAGCCACGCCCCCAACCCTGCAGGCTGGTCTCTTTCTGAAACAAGCTTCCATCTCCTTCCCAGATTCAAAAAAACAAAGCAAGAACAATTTTTAGGTGCACACATGTCCACTGAAAGTTTAATTGTGGCATAGACAAGCTGAAGCCTGAGGGTGACAATAAACATGCCAGATGCCAGTAGCAGAACGTCAGTAAATGCCAGGGTCTAAAAAGTGGCACATGGTAATTTTGTTTATTGGTTGTGGTGCGTGGCAAAAACATACCTGCCAGGGAGGGTAGAATTTGTGGCCTGAGGGCATTTTGGAAATTGGAAGAAAAATGAAATGTTTGCAAGTCAACATTAGAAAATGAAAAGAGCAGGAATTGGAAACATGAATTTATATTGTGAAAATTTATAAAGAATAGCAGTGATGTTCTTGTGTGGGAAAAATGTATTTTTTAAATTAAGGGTATTGATCCTTGCAGAGGAGATATGTTATGTAAGATATTTATGTTTGTCCTGTTTTTGTATAGTATTTAAAAAAGAATATAGCCCGTCCAACAAAATAAAATACCTTCCTTAGAGCCAAGTAGCAAGCTATTGTCTAGAATAAAACTATACAGCAGGTTTTTTTTGAACCATAAAGCATTTCATCATATATGCTTTGTAGCCCTAGATTTTTTTTTTAAAGATTATTTATTTGTAAAAAAAAAAAAAAGATTATTTATTTGTGCATACAGAGCTGGGGTACAGGCTAGAGGTTCAGGGGCGGCCAGAGGCTTCACCAGAGACAGAGTGGGGAGCAGAACAGGCAGATCTACGAAGCACACTGCTGAGGGGAGCAGCGGGCGGGTCAGGAGAGGTCTGCCACGCCATGTGGTCCCCGCCAGGGCAGGCAGGATAGAACTCATGCAGAAGTGGCCTTAGCTTCTTAGTGCAGTGCTCTAACCAGCTGTGCCACCAGGGAGGGCCCAGCCCTAGATATTTTTTTAAAAATAAGTGGGAAATATAATATCCTGGATTGATTTCCATACAATTAAAGGGAGTGCTCCATGCCTCTGTACAGAAGTCCTGGTTTTAATGAACTTGTTTATTATTTCTTCCACTTTGCACCTGATTATCTTTGTCCTCCACGACTGGATCTCATTTCAGTTTGAAGGATAGTTCTTAGAGGTTTCACCAGTTTCCCTTATTAGATGGAGAAATCTAGAACTTTGGTGCACTAGAAATACAGACTTGGGAGGCATTCATGGACAGCTAGTGGTTGAGGCCTTGAGAATAAGTATGGTTGACAGAGAAGGGTCTAGAGAGAAGGGGAAAGAGAAGTAAAAGAACTTCAGGAATCATTTAAGTTTGGAAAGATAATTTGAAGTATTTATTGTCCACGTGTTACTTTCCTCATAAACTCCTAGAACATACAGCTGTTTTTGTTAGTGTTCTCAAACAGCACTTAGGATCTGGTGTCATAGGGCAATTTTGGATAATCAGGAAGCTTCAGAGGCAGTGCAGGTCGGGACTTGGGGAGAGTTAAGGAAGCTGCAGAGATAGGGGCCATAACAAGTACAAGGGAAGATCCGGAGATAGGGTAACAAGTTCAAAAGGGAGCTAGTCAGACACCCCAGGTCTAGGGGCAAGAAGGGCCCCAGGACATTTCCAGATCAAGGGTGATAAAAGATAAGGGGTGGGGACCCTCCCTGGTGGTACACTTTTAGAAATCTGCTGTTTTCCCATGAGTTCCTAGAACAATGCTCTCTTTCCTGGCTTATCTTTTTTAATGTATAGATGCCAAGTTGTTATAGGACACCCAAATTCTGTTAGAGAACAAAACCTGTTATAGGACAAAATCTGTTATATGACAGGGGGAGAGAGGGGCACTCCTGAAGCCCCCAAATCCTGCCTGCTGTAAGTGGGTTCTGCCATCCACCGCAACAAGACAAAACATAAAACTTTAATGAAAAGGGACTTTAATACAGTGAATATACAATACGGAACACAAAGAATAGAACTTCTAAATCAAACACCTGAAGTGACTCATCCCCTCGTGGGCAAAAGTCAACCCAAAAGGGACTGGCCCAAAGCAAGGCCTGAAAGCTGCCACAAGACTAAAGCACCTTCTGGCCGGAACCCATGGAAAAGGGTGAGAAATGACCAGACAAATCTGGGAGCAAAAGAGCAAAATCAAAATCAATATAAACACTGCCATGGTCACCTCCCTGCAGGTATCTCACCCACATCTGCCTTCACCAGTCCAGGGTCAGGAAACAAGCCTGGTTTCTTCATCACATGCTTGCTGCTCCATGTGGCTTCCTCAGGTCTCCATCTTGTTCTCCATCCTGCTTCATTCTCTTCTCCCTTCTCTTCTCTCCCTTTTTTCCTGCTCAGCTCCACCCTCCTGCTGGGTGGGGCAGGGAACCTGGAACTTCCCTTTTTCCTAGGGACCACCCTGATACAAAGTTGTTTTGTGATTTGTTCCTACATGGAGAGATTACTTTTTCTTCCAAACATTTCCAGCAGTCCAGTCTATATTTCTTCCAGATCCTCTCCCTGTTTACATATATACTGGCATCTTCTCTCAGCCCTTCTTTGAGGCTAAGTATGCCACTCATCATCATTTAGGTAAGACATATTGGGTTCAACAGATTCTCTCAAATTCAAGTCCACTCAGAACCTCAGACTAAGATCTTATTTGGAAAGAGTTTCTTTGAGCTAGGATGAGGTCATAGGGAAACAACTGTCCTTACCAGAATAGGAGAGACTCAGAGTCAGAGAGGAGCCCCCAGGGAGAAAAGACCAGAGGCTGAGATTGGAGTAAGGAGAGAAGACCAGAGGCAGAGACTGGAGTTACACACAGGCCATGGGATGGCAGCAACCACTAAAGCTGTAAGGGAGGCAGGAGCAGACTCTAGTGCCCCCAGAAGGAAGGAACCAACCCCATTGACACCTTGATTTCAAACTTCTAGCAAATAAATCTTTGTTGTTTATGAACTTCCCAGCAAATAAATCTTTGTTGTTTATGAACTTCCATTCTGTGATATTTTCTTACAGCAACCCTAGGAAACTGATACAGAAGTCAATTACATTTACACATGGCTCACCTCAGCAGCTTACCTTAAAGGCTGCTCTGACAGGAGACAGCAGAGTTTGCTATAAATCAACTTGTTTCTGAGAACATCACTGGACTATATGAAGAACGAAGAACCAATTCTGAGGTGTTCTTCGACACTCAAGTTCCCTTCACTGTCTGATTTCTTCAGTTATAAACTGAGACAGATTAAAACCTTACCTGAATTCAAACTCTGTAGTTCAAATTTCAGAATATGGGGTGTCCACAAAATTCTGGACAGTAAGTTCAGGTGTTAATCCCCATCCAAGAGAATATTGAGCCAGTTTCTTCCAGCTAGAGACTGAATTAAATTCATGGTTGGAGCTGATTTAAATAATTTCCTTAGGGACTTTTCATCTCATTTTTCATGAAAATCAGCTTAGAGACAGATCCCAGAAACATGACTAGAAGTCACACAAATTCTGCTAAGGGTTTTCCAGGCGAGTTTATTGATGTTCTAATAAAACATTGAACATTGATAACTTTGTAATATTAAACAACACTTTGAAAGGAGACATACAGTTCTTTGCCGATAGATATATTTTAATAGACTTTACTTTTCAGAACAACTTTAGGTTCATAGCACACATTCTATTTTGCAAACTTATTGACTTCAGACCTTTCTGGGTTCAAGTCGTGCAGGCTAAGTGTTCAAATGGATTGTGAACTGAATGAAAAATAAGACCAGAAAACAGGTTATTTTTATGACTTGCCTATGTTTTGTAGACCTTTGATATTCCTAGAAATATGCTTTAATGTTTGAATATCACTCCTGAATCAGCAAGGTGCCTTGCTGTAAATGACCATCATATGGCCTACGTCGAGAGTAGTAAATGGGATGATAAATAAGAACAACCAGTTGAGCTGGGGGTGTTGGGTGATCAGTTGACTGGGCTTACTAATTTAGTTATCAGTTATAAACACCAGCTTATAATTGCACAATGCCTATTTGTGCTTTAGCAAAGTGGCACATTACAATTATTATAACCTTCAGGATTATTCACCAGTAGATCTAACACAAAGAATAAATAAGAGCTATTAAAATCCTGCTACCAGGCCCTTTCTTATAGTGCAGCGGGTTAAAGCACAGCACTAAGAAGCTAAAGCCACTTCCCCATGAGTTCGATCCCAGCCAGCCCTGGAGGTGACCACAGGGCACGGCAGACCTCTCCTGACCCGCCTGCTGCTCCCCTCAGCAGTGGACTTCCTTGATCTGCCTGCTCTGCTCCCCACTCTGTCTCTGGTGAATCCATTCACCACCCCTGCACCTCTGGCCTGTACCCCAGTTCTGTGTGCATAAATAAATAAATCTTAAAAAAATCCTGCTACCTTGAAATAGTGAAAGTTCCATACATCCATGTATGATTTAAAGATCAAGTATATAATTGAACCTCGAGATCATTATGGAAGCAATTTGAATCCAACGAATGGTAGGTTTTGAAAGAGCTAAAATTTACTCTTTGGTCTTTATGAATTTAACCTTCATTTTTAAAAGTAAGCCTTAGTGTATACCGCTAAATAGATTTAAAGATCGTTCTGCTGAGGTGCTAATACATTTATTAATGGAAGAGAATGGATAATTAACAACACTCTTTATATGTACATTTGTTATCCTAGAAGGGCCAATGCTTTGCCACTTTCATCTAGAGGAAGAATACAGTAACCCTACGTTATTTGCAGCTTCAGAAAGTTCCATTGTCCATCTGAGCAGCTGGATCTCTGGAGCAGCTGCTGAAATAACTCCCGGGTCACGTTGAAATGAATTAAGAAAACCTTATCCAGGAACACAGGCATTTCAGGCCCCAAGGTCATGCTGTCAGGTAAGATGTTTTCTTTCCTTCTTTGAACATTTCTGGTGGCTCCTTTGGGAAGGGCCATCTGCAGTCTGGACTGCATTATTATCAAATGGTATAAATGAGTGGAAAGATGCTGAGGAATGGTTTGTCAGATTTATAACAATTTTTTTTTTTTTTTTTTTTTGCTTCAAAAAGAGGACAACGGCACTGTCTGGTGGTTATAGGGATGTTTTTGTTTTGTGGGTAAACTGGGGTCTGGGTTGAGTCACAGGTTGTGGCAGTGATTTCTGGCAGCATCCTAGACCAGAAGTTAGAGAAGGATAGAATTCTAGAACTGTCTGAGAAAGGCAAAATCCTCTCATTAAAAAATCTCCTCACACAGACTATCTCTAGATCAAAGTGGCCTCTCAGTTGTAAACTCTGGTACTTCTAGGGCCTCACCCAAATTCATAGCTCCAAAGGAAGAATTTCACAAAAGATGAGTAGATTTGTATTGCTGAATTTGGGTGTCTGTTAACACTTCCTTCATCACTCAGGATTTTCAAATACCAACGAAGACTTCCCTTACTGTCTATCTCTGTGCTCTTTCCTTCTATCCAATTTCTGGTGGACTTATGATGAATATCACTGTGACATACAGTGTTGCTTTTGGATGTTATATCACTGATATAGTAAAGTTACTCAGTGCAAAAGCTATCTTAAATTTCTACTTTGTGTCACGTAGAATGCAAGTTCCTGATTCAAAATAGAGTTTAGCAATTATTAATTGGTTGATTAATTTCCTTTCAGCTTTGTGTTCATTCTCAGTGGGTTATTTTTCTATGATTTTACTACTGAGGAGAATTAAAATTCAGCTGGGAATTTTGATAATTGGGAAGATTATTTTTATAACTTAATAATGATTCTGTTTTATAATTGTTACAGTCAGTGTGATACATAATTGTTCATTTATAGATCTGAAAACAGTGGAAAACAGTTGTCCTTATACTGATTTTATTTCATTTTTTTTCTTTTATGCATGAAGAGCTGGGGTGTAGGCCAGTGTTGCTTTTGGGGGCAGGGTGGTTGGAGTGGGGAGTAAGAGGATTCACCAGACACAGAGTTGGGAGCAGAACAGGTGGATTGACTGAAATACCCTGTGAGGGGAGCAGCGGGGGAGATAAGAAAGGTCTTCGGAGCCAAGTGGGTCAGCTCCCTGGCCAGGGATTGAACTCGAGCTATAGTGGCTACTGATAGCTTCCTAGTGCTGAGGCCTAACTCCTTGCACCATCGACGAGGCCCCTTATACTGATTTAAAAGAAAAATATACTGACATCAGCTAGCAGATGTTAGAGTATTTTTTAAAAGTAATTCAATATAGGTTAGTACCAGGTAGGGTGGAATATGTTATGATAGTATTAGTTAATTTTATGTCAAATTTTATTGATTTCTATTTACTTATAAAACCATTTCATTTTGGGATTACAAATTCGCCTCTCTATGGACATGCTTTACTCACCTTCCATCAAAGTCAATACTTTATCACCTATCTGCTATAGACCTCCCCCTTCTTTACCCCTTCCTCTGGTAATTACCACAGTTTTTACAATGCCAAAGCATTATTTTCATTGTGTTTTGCCCATTTGTTTTCTTATACTTCAAATGAATGAAATCATTGTGCAATTGTCTTTCACTTCTGACTTATTTTACTTAGCACAATTACCTCACGACCCATTCATATTTTCCCAAAAGACACTTCTTCATCTTTTTAAATAACTGAGTCATATTCCTTTGAGTATGTATTCCTCATAAGTTCTTTATCCAGTTGTCTGTGGGTGGGCATGTAGGTTGACTCTATGACTTAGTTTTTGTGAAGATGCTGCTATGGGCATAGAAATGAATACATCTTTTTGTTTAGTTTTTCACATTTTTTTTGCATAAATACTTAGAAGTGGTATTGACAGATTGTTTGGTCTTTCCAATTTTAGTTTTTAAAGGAATCTCCATGCCATTTCCCATATAAGCCATAACAATTTATCCCCACAGCAGCCAAGTCAGCCTTCCTCTTCCTCCTCACCCTTCCTGACACTAGCTCCTAGTCTTTCCAATATAGAACTTTCTCACAGAAGTGGCTGTTTCTGTGTGGGAGGTTTGGATGTACATTTCCTTTATAATAAGTGACGTTGGATTTCCTCCTTGTGTTTATGTTCCATCTGGAGGTCTTCTTCACAGAAGTGTCTACTTAGATCTTTTGCCCATTTTTTGATTGGGTTGTTTGATATTTTTTTGTTGTTGATGTGTATGAATTCTTTATATATTTTTGAAGTGAACCCTTTGTTGAATGTACGATGCCCCAATATTTTCTCTTAGTCCACCGGCTGCCTTTGTGGAAGTACTTACACAGGAAGAGACTTGTGTTTGACTTAACTTCCATGAATGTTGTATGATTGAATTTGTGGGGTAAAAAAATGAATTCAGACTTGAAAGAAGACAGTTTTTAGATTTATTTGATTAGGCCACAAGTTTTTTACAACTTGGAATGAACCATTCTTTGGTGACCTGTATAGTCATTTGCAAGCCAAGAAATATATTTATAATCTTCCATATGTACTTGTCCTTGTCTTCTTTTTTCTATCTTTTCTTGCTACTATCAAGGCCAATTTCCCCCCTCTATTTATTTGATAGCTTTCCTGGACTTGATAGTAACTTTCTATTGCCTTTGTAAAAGTTTAAATTGTTTCCCTTTTCTTCCTAAGCGAAATATCATGGATTTTCATATCTTGAGAGTGTCTCTCTGCAAGTAATACTGAAATCCTCACATGGTTGATTTAAAGATTCCTTGTTATTCATACAATTTTTTGGTGAAATTCATTCCAAAATCAGAAAATTAAAACATCACATTAAACAATGAGTAAAATAACCTCAAAAACTTACCACTTAAAAGCTGTTGATGATGACATACCCCAGTAAAAATTCTGCCAGTTTGCAACACATTCAAAAGCTGACCACATTAAAGTGGACATTATTAAACAGAGATCACATATTTTTCAACATTGAGCCAACCATGCTAATAAAGAGAGGATGTGTAATTTCCGTTGGAAGTGGAAAGTGGTTTCTGTATCCATGCAAATGTACAGGGATTGTGAGATTGTTTATCAAAGTAGCACAGAGTTTATAAATGATATAATTTTGCTCATTAATATGTATAGTTATAACAGTAATAACCGCAACAACAAAAAAATCAGTCATGTGAAATTCTTGTATTTCTGCTCTTCACAGACCAGTCTATTCATTTTAATACATACCCTGACATTCTATCTTCTGCCTTTTTCACCCTTACTGTTGACGTCCATTTCTGTGTTTTATTGCCATTAGGCAATAGAAGCCTAAAAGTAACTTCCTCAATGTAGTATACCTAAATCCACACTTCTCACCTTTGTCCACATGACAAACTCTGAAACAAGCACACCACTCTCCACTTCCTTCTTCTATTAATACCATCTCCATGGTCCTAGTTCTCTAGACTTGAAATCTTGAAATCATTGCTGATTCTTTATCCCCACGGCAACACAGCGTGATCAAATCCTAAGAATAATTTCTTAGCAATACCATTCCCATTGGTTTTTTCCTCCCCCTTTCTATGACTGATGCCCAGGTACAGGACTTCAGAGTTCCACGTGCACTATTCCAGCGGCCTCTTAACTGATTTCTGCCACAGATGGCACTCTCCAGTACTTGTTTCCAACTCATACTAAATGGGGCTCCTAGATGAAGTTTGCTAAAATTCTATTTTAAGTACATCTTTCTCCTGAAGCATCTACAAATATAAGCTTTTCTATAGCTCAGAGTCCACATTTATTTTGAGTCTGACATTCAAGGTTCTGAATACCGTGATCTCACAGTCTCTTGTCTGTCTTCTTTTTCTCATTATGAAAACATTTCCTCTCATCTACTGGTTATTTTTTTTTTAAATATGTATTCATTTATGCATACAAGAACTGGGGTACAGGTCAGAGGTGAGGGGTGGTGGTGGTGAGAGGATTCACCAGAGACAGAGTGGGGAGCAGAATTGACTGCAATACACTGCTGAGGGGAGCAGCGGGTGGGTCAGGAGAGGTCTGCCTTGCCATGTGGCTCAGCTCCCTGCCCAGGATGGAACTCCTGTGGCAGTGGCTTGGTATAGCTTTATAGTGCTGCACTGTCGACCCCTTGTACCATCAGGGAGATCTCTTATTTACTTTTGATTGCTCAAACATATTTAGCATTGTCTATGCCTTTGTTCATGCTCTTGTTCTTATCTGGCGTATGTTCTTCTTATATTCAAATCACAGATATTCTCTAGGATGCCTTCAGGCCTATACCAATTCTAGTGTATTCCTCAATGCAATATACCCAAATAGCAATCTCTCATCTTTATCATTATGAGAAATTTTCAAGAAAAAAAAATCTCTTCACTCCCTTCTTCTATGAATAATATCTCTATTTTCCCAATAGGCTTGAACCCTTAGAGTCATTTTTATAAACTATGACATATATTATTTATATAATCTATTTTAAAATATATGTAAGTTTTTTTAACTTTTGTATTGCTATTAGAAATATATATATTTTATCATAAATGCCTTGTTGTGCCATTATTTCTTTGTGTAACCCCTGGCATGGTATTGAATATAAAATAGACATTAGGTTTTTATTGACTTACATGGATTAAAACTGGTTTTGGAGAAAATGCCTTTGAGTTCTTAGTAGTGAGGGTTTTATTTGACTATTGTTAGTAAAGCCATAGACATATGACAGTTAAACAGAAAAATATCAGGATGTGTGTGTGCGTGTGTGTGTGTATCGTCACAAAATTGCTAAGTTAATTATTCTTAAATGAAGATTAATGAGCAGATATTAGACACGTTAGCAAGCATAATAATATATTTGTACAGAATAAATATTTCACATCAGTGAAAATATTTAATATATTTGGAAATATCCAGTGATGTGTATTTTAATCTTTTCCTTTATATTAAATCTAGAGGGATAAATCAGTATAGTAAAAGATTTTCTCATGCAAGGCTCTCCATAAAACAAAGGGGAAAAAAGGAGCAATTTGACAAGTCAATGAAAAGTATAGAAGAGAAAGCAAAGCCCTTGCTATGGTTTCCTTTAAGGATAAGCTATGGAGTCTTATTCTAGGTTGATTTCAGAATTAAATGGGTTACCACTAACATCTGTGATACAGAAAGCTGGCTGGGTAGAAGACACTCTCCTCCATGTTTCTTATATATTGACTCACAGAATCCTATAACCACGTCATGAGACAGACTGTTGCTTTCATCCTCATATTAAAGTTGACGAAATTGATTTAAGTCAAAGTCACACATAATAGGTAGTGGAACCAAGGTTCAAATTCAGACAGTTCAGTTCTGGGAATTCATATTTTCTTTTTCTATTAAGTGAAAATAAGACATGTGAGCAGAAAAGGATAGCATTCCTCAATGGACAGCCCAATGAGGTATCGCCAAATGAACTCACTGCCTAGTGAAGAGGGACTAAGATGCCAAGAGAACTTCTGGGCCAGGAGCTTCAAGTTCATGGTCTTACCTGCTATACCAAAGTGCCTCTCAATAGATTTATGGACATGTCTCACTACCTTAAAATTTTTACTATGATTTCAGTTTAAAGTGGTTCAAGTTCATGGTGTTCATTCCTAGTCCGCAATAGTGTGTGTGGGGTGGGG